AGAGGTACCCATGAAATAGCCATGAAAATGGGGAGTTGTCCTATGGACAGGTCATTCTCCCACTTAGAGAGAGCTTCATAGGTACTCTAAGCATGTCATATATCCTTACCTACACAGAGTGATATGCTTGCTGGGAAGTTATGATTGGACCCTACTCTTCAGTGTCTGGAAACTCCAATGCCTTCTGTTCTTTCAGGCAATAAAGTCAAAGGATAATTTGGACAGATGCTAACCTGAGCCTCTAGGACAGCTTGGGACAAGAGGGTCTATGCTCAATGCATCTAGAACATGGCACAAGCAAATAATTCCTTATTAATTGCTCGAGAAATCATCCTTTCTGCTCACCCTCTTCTCAGAGAACCTAACTTTCACATTTGATGTTGGCTTTCACAAAAACTCATACTGTCTTCAACTCTGTAATCTCCTAAATTTTGTTTATTTTTGTTTTATTTTCAGCTTGTCTTTTTAAAATAGAATTGACTTGTACTTTATGAAAACGATACTTGTTTTCTCTCCATTTATTTGCTTTATTTCATAGCCTATAATTCAGGCTTTGGGAAACTTATCCCATGATAAATTCCTTTCAAAACAAAATATATTGTCTTGCCCGTTTCTCACAGATTGGCCTTGGAACCTGCCTGGGACCACATGCTTACCGCTATCAGCACAAGCAAAGAGTTTCCAAGGACACATGTTTACTGTAATGAGGTACTTGGCCCAGGATGAGAGAAAACTAATGTTTCTTTTCTTATGCACAACGTCCTCATTTGTTACATGCATAATACCCAGTCTGGCTATTTTCCTTCCTATGAAAGGTTAGTAGAATATAATTCCACATTTAGGTTCTGTAATATTATAAACAAGGAAACAAACCCAGCTATGTCAATGTCCTTAGTCTAATCTGAATATGTCCCCTCTCTACACTGATAAAACATTTTGATCAGAAGAGATTTGCAGACCCAGTCCAGAGTCCCTGTATTCTAGCAGTTTTGGCTTTAGAAATGACAATGATAGAATGGTAGTTCTAAGAAGTGTTGAGAATACAGAGACCAAACTAGAGATAACAAACAGCTGCTGTTTAAAAACCAGTGCTGAGCACAGCACTAAGTGGTATTAAATTCTTATTCAGAATAAAGGTTAGAGTTGAAAGGGATTTTAGAGATGTTACCTGAATCCTTCACTTTCAGAATGAGAAAACCAAGACTCAGGAAGGTAAAATGGCTTGCCAATGTCTCACAGCTTTGTTTGTGTCCAAAGCTGGGGTTAGAACCCAATTCTCCTGAATCCCAATTTGATCCACCTTCTACTTCACTTTAAAGTTGTCATTTATCTTATATGATGAGGAAACAGTGCCAAGAAGACAGTTGGGAGTCTGTTGTACAGACACATGAGCCCTTGAAACTCCTTCTTCTCTGTTTTATTTCTTTTTCTGTTTATTCTCTTAGGTACATTCGTGCATTTAAAATCTGAAGTTAATTTGACCTAAAATTTGTATGAGTCTTTGGAGAAAGTTTGTTTCCTGAAATCATCTCCTTGATGATTTTTTTAATGTACAAGTTGTTCATATTGTATATGTCATTCTGTTACACATGTCAGGCACTTCAAAAAGACTCCAAAAGAACATGCCTGAGAGAGATAACTCCCAATTAAAATGATTCAGTCCCTCACTTGCAACATTCAGGATAACTGTGTGGAAACATTAGGCTACCAGACAAAGCAAAGGTAGTTATTTCCTAGAGTGACTCAGTAAGATATTTCTCAAGGAGATAACAGTTTTTATATTGCACAATTTCTTAGACTCTAGATGACAAAGAAGCTTTCTCACGGCTTTTGTTGAATGAATAATCCAAACCGAGTAATATTTTGCTCATCAAGATTTAGGTCACTTCCCTGGAAGCTATTTAAATAAGACATCTTAGATGGTGAGAAAGAAGGAACAAGAAGATACCTGGGAGTGGATACAGCAGACACACAGCCCTGAAAACCCTACCCTCTCTCTTTCCTTTTACTTCCTTTGCTTTGGGGTCAGTGAGGCAACTACAGCAATAGTTGGGATGATCTCCACTTAGACCCTGAAAGACCAGAGAGGTGACTTGAGCAGAATATAAACCTTTAACTGCCCATGTGGGTCTGCTTCCTTTGGCTGAGCCAACCTCCCATTTGGAGCTTTAGTCATAATTCTTCCCATTCTGAACTGTGAAATGTTTTGGTTTTTATTTATTTTTATTTGATTTTTTTTTCTTTAAGAATCATAGGTTTAGCAGTAGTTGGGCACTGCATGAAAAATGAAGTTTACATAGTTTATATTATGTACATAAACTAGTGATTTACATTGATTTACACATGATTGGTGCCTAATTTATTAATCAGCACGCAGTATGTAAATGTGCTGAAAAGAAATCAAGGTTTTAAAATAAGTTTTCCATAATATTCATAAATATTTTCGCTGGTGTAAATGTGAAACCTAAACCCAATGTTAACAGCGGCTTCCTTGCCAAGAGAAAAGTGACGTATATTGCTGGGTGAAAACAAATTCTTTACTAAATTTCAGTTGGCTACATTTGAACAGCATAGCTACATGCAAATCAGAATAGTTTACTTCTTTTCTGCTAGTATGCACATAAATGTAAACTCCATTTTGCATTTAGTGAGATGTTTACAGATATTATGCCAACCATGATGGAAAATTTACATCACTGAGGCAAATGCAGTCTTTGGAGAAGAAATATTCTAAACATTTAAGCAAGAAGGAGGATTTCTAAACTGTATTTTTGTTTCTTAAATCAGGGTCTTATCTCACCATTTTTGTGGTATGTTTCACATTTGTCTTTAAAATATTAATAGTTTACGTAGGTCAGATACAGCATTGTACTTATATTTGTCTTAAAAAATGATAGTTATTAGTAACCAAGACTAAATGCAGGCTCAAGGTTTATGAGGATGAAAAGAAAACTGAGCACATGGTTAATTCCATTAAATGCAGTCTATAAGCAAATTTATTTTAAGTAAATAATTACCAAATGGAAAAAGTGGGGTTCTACGTTTTTCTATATGACCATAGATCTTTTTTCTAAACAACCAAATTCAGTACTTTTGTTCCTTTTAAGTTCAAAACATTATTCTTAATTTGTCTTATAATACATACATTATTGTAAATATAGCATCTATAAAGATAAGATAAAACAAAAATACACACACATATATATTATTGTTTTTCACAAATAATTCAAGCCCTGCAAAGAACAAAATGAAAAATCCAGGGAGACTAGCCAATAGAAACAGTGAAACCACAACCAACTCAGGGATGGAATCTGAGACTCTGGAGGATGCAAGAAGCTCACAACTTGGTAAAGTAATAAACAGTTTCACGCTGAGGAGTTTAGCTTTTATGTGCAAAGGAGGTAAGTCCATTTTTGGAGGAGAAACAGATTTTTGTTTCGGTCCTCCAAGAACGTGAAAATCA